TCCGGCGCGCCGGAACTGCCGAGAGCCGTGACGGCCGGAAAGCGCGCGCTCGAGACGCCCGGTGATGACGTCACGAGGCCTCCTCTTTTTCTTTCCCCCCCTCTCTCTTTCCCCTCCCCTCGTTGTCAGAGCGACGGCCGAGGAAGCCCGGCCCGAGGCAGGATCACCATGGCGACGAGCGCCGCCGCCCCGCCTCCGCGCGTAGCACGTGGGGGGTTGCCCCGCCCCGCAGCCGGACCGACGGGTGGACAGGCAGGCGGGCGGGCGGTCTTGCGGGGTCGTTGTATATAGGACGGCGGAGTTCTGATTTCAGGCACGGGCCTTAGCGAGGGCGAGAGGCCGCTCCGTCTCCGAGGGGATCGGAAGAGCGGTAGCTTAGCGGCGTAACTTTTGGGGTGGAAGGGATTGCTGGCTGAGGGATTCTGGGAGTTGTAGTCCAAGGAGGCGAACCCGTTGTAGGCGAGGCGTAGGAAAGGCTCCCCGTCGTGTCCGGCGGCAGAAGTCCCAAGCCGGGCAGGGAGAGATGGAAGCGATCCGTAACCGAAGACTTGCTGCCAGATTGGGAGTTGAGGGAGCGGGAGAAGGAGGGTCAAAGCCCGGCCGGTCTCTGTGCAGGGGCAGCTTCGCCCCTCGCTCTCTGGTTTCCGACCACAGGAAACCTTCCCATCCCTTTTTTAGACGGAGCGGGGCACAAAGGCTCGCCTGGTGGCTCCATGGTTTGCCTCTCCGCGGCCGGATCCTGCGCTCTGCCTTTCAGCCCTCAAATGTTAGCTAGCCCTTTTTTCTTTTTCTGTGTTCTCGTTCCGTGCTTCATGGCTTTTGACTTTTGCTGTTCACGCTGAGAGACCGCTTTGCAATGGCATATGAAGTGATTAAATAAACAAAGTCGTGCGTGACACTGTTAAGGCGAATACGGGGCGTTCCTGGCCTTATTGCCCACCGATTCCTGGTGGGTGACATTTAGTACCGCAGGCTGCAGGCATCACAAGGCTACTACTGTATTCCTTTGGGGAAAAGGAGAGCTCAGGAGCCTTGACTTCGAGTCAGCCTATGCCGTTCGGTGATGCACGGCCAGAGGACCCTTGTTAACAAACGTGCCCCCTATGTTTAAGGCTATATTTGAGGTTGCCGGCTAAGAATGCAATCCTGTACCCCTAACCTGGCAGTAAGCCCCACTGGGACCTACTCCTGAACAAACAGGTGTATAATAGGACTGTAAAGAACATGCTGTGCATTAACAGCAGCGTCCTTATGCCAGCGGTAATGGGCACTCCGGTGCTTAAAAAAAAGAGGAATTGTTCTTCCCTTTTGGTCACCGGTTACTTCCTTCGGAGGCGAGCAGGAAGCTTCGTCGGAAGTATACCGTTAGGCATACCGAAAGCGGAACCCTAAAGTTCACGATTAGGATCTACCCGGACGAATATAGGGAGCACAGCCGCAGCGGTGACTAGGCAGGCGTCTGACGTCATCACTGCCTGCCACGGCGCAGCCTCACTGCTCGGGAGAACAGCACCCCCTCAGATGCTTCCGCGAAGGAAACTAGTCCTGGGGCCGGCTGCGGCAGTCTTGCGTGCCGCCGCTTCCGTTCGGCCGCGAAAAGCGGCGGCCACCGAGTCCGGAGCAAAGTGAGGCGTCC